CTCCAGAAACCATTTTAGCACCATCTAACTGGTTGACCCCCAACATAAGGTGCTACTTATAAGACTGAGTTTGTTGCAGCTCCTCGGACTGATCGAGTCTTTTGGACGAAAGACAAAACCTTTTTTAAAAGTAACCGACCAGAGGACCCAAATTAACTTTTTTTTTTAACATACTAGCATGATTTACTGTAGATATGCAAAGCTGCATCTAAATGAACCACAAGACTTCATGACAACGTCCGTTGGACAGATGAGACCAAAGTAGAGGTGTGCACCCAGAATACATAGCTCCATGTCTGGCCAAGACCAAGTGCCTTCCAGTTATTGAGTAACTCCTTTATACATCAAAGTATGGAATCAAATGTGAGTCCAGCTTGGATGAACTGGGTCATGATGTACCAGGAAAATGATGGCAACCACAGCAGCAAACCTACAACCCAAAGACTAAAAAATATCAAGATGTTGCATTGGAAAAAAAGTCCAGACCCCAAACTTATTGAAATGCTGTGGAAGGACCCTAAAAGAACTGTGAAGAAGCAAATGGCTGAAAATCTCAATTATCTGAAGCAACGTTATAAAGTAGAGTGGGTCAAATTTCCACCACAGCCATGTGAGACACTGAGAAAAACATACTGAACACAACTACTGGAAGTTATTGCTGCTGAAGTTCTAGGAGCTGTTTGGCCATTTTTCACACACAGCGTTTCCATTCGTGTTTAATAAAAAATAACCCTGGATTCTGTTGTGTGTCTTTGTACTCTTTGGGTTGGTTTGAATAATCGTATGACATTTTAAAGACCAGATCATTTTTATTATGTTCTGACGCTGAATGTAAAATGCTAACGTTAAAGGAAGGGGATTTGTTTTTTTTATCAGCTGATATTAAAAAAACGAGACGCATAAAAAAAGCACATCTGACAAAGTCACAGACAAGAGGTAACTTTAATAACATTGTGAGTCCAAAAGTTATCTTACAGCTCAATTTTCATCAAAAAACATTAACAATCTATACAGTAGAATTTTTTATTCCCTTATATTATAGAGCTGTTCAGTGTATTTGCAGTCAAAGACAAACAGAGGAAAAATAGACACCAGCTATTTGGTTTGCATCTCTCGTTTTTTGTTGTTCTGGTTTGTTACCTAAATACAAAAAAAACTTTGTCACCCATTACTGATGCTCATTATTGGGATGATACTTTGCGTACAAAGATGCCATTGTATGACAACAGACCTCTGTAGTTCATTTGAAACAGATATGTTGTCCCCACACCCCTCAGAGCGCCACAGGAACACAAGTGTCTGAAAAAACACTTGTCTGTCAGCAGGCGCCGCCGTTAAAACCATCCTTTTTCTAACCGCTTAACAAAACCAGGCCCTGGAAAAAGAAAAGCAGAGAGAAAAGCCCTATTCTCCGTCCAGCAACAGCTTGAAGACACAAAGGAAAGACTAAAGAAACAGCTGACGGGCCAAGAAGCTGCTTTTTTTTTTTGAATGCGTCCTCTCATGTTGTTGCTGTGTAGTTTGTAATGAGACTGCACCGTTCAGCAGCTAATGTAAAGAGAGCAGGGCCGGGGGGAGAGGTGGGGAGTAATCAGCTGTCAGATCCTGGAGTCACACCGACGACTCCATGTGAGGGGTTCAAATTGTGCAAGTGCTTGTTTAATCCTTCAAACTACAGTTAGGTGTTGTGAAACTGTTTCCGTCCATTGGTTTAAGGAAATATTCCCATCGTGCTGTTGAAATGAACTCATATAAAAAAAAAAAAGGCTGTAAAAAAGTGTTTCTTTCAACACGAATGTGCAGTAAAAGCATTGTGGACTCAGGCCGCTCCGACCGCCTTTCAAAGCATGCCGTTGCTGTAACATTTAGCACATTTGGGGCGTGTGTGAGATCGTTGAGTTATGGCTCTTTGTGTTCTAGTCTGGCTTCAGCACCAAACAGAGCGGGTTTGTGCTTTGTCCCCAAGTTCTCGTGAATTCCTCTGCGGCAATAGACAATTGTGGTGACGGGGTAGAAAACTGTACAACATGATTGAATGGAGAATTGGTTTGCATTGTTAAGGCATCTAGACTGCTGGTAAAGATTACAGTGACAGAAACAAAAGAAAGAGTATAGAGATACTGTAATGTAAGCAGGCATAAATAACATAAAGGAAAGAACAAAGGGGGTGAAAAAAGAGGAACACAACAAAAAGGAAAAAAAAAAAACGGAGCAATTCCTTACATCTCTTGGTTTCCACACACACAAAAAGTCACTCAAGAGAAAACCCCATGCATATTATCAGCTCAAGAACAGTTTCCATCTAAAAGCCTCAAAGTCCAAAAAAAACCAAACAAACAAACAAAAAAAAAGATATAGATTTACAGTATATATATTAATGTGTGTTTATATTCTTAAAAAATCTACCTCAACCAAATACTCTGTAAAGATGCTACTTTTTGCCATACAATAAACATTTTATAGGAAAAAAAAAGAAAAGAAAAAAAAACTTTTTTTATTAACTTACAAATAATACAAAAATAGACAATGGCATGTTCGAATCAACAAATCAGAACCTGGCAGAAATAAAAAGTAAAAACAATCGACATTTAAAAATAAAAAATAAAAGTAAAACTGTCACATTTAATAGTGATAGATGACAATACATAACAAAACACAGTGAAATCTGTTCAGTTACCGTAATAAACATACACAACACAACTCAACGAGGGTGAGAGTCAATGTACATACGAGGGATAAATACATTATTTATAGGATATTTTACACGACTCCCGTTTTTGTATCCAAATCCTTTGTCATGTTTAGCAGATGAGATACTGACGACACGAAGTAAATCTATCTGTGCTGAGAAGCTGCCTTAAGACATTACTGTATAATGTTTACATTTCAAACTATAGCTATTGCAAAAAACGAAAAATGATGCCAAATGAAAAGAAAAATCAACTTTTTTTTAATATATATACAAAAATATATCACATATATCACGCATTTATTCTAATAGTTGCCAGGCTCCTTCAGTACAGTGCTGGCTGGACGTGCGCACACATCCTCTGGCTTTTCAAGTTGTCGCTAAAGTCTCAAACAAAAAGGTCCAATTTTGGCTAAATCTTCACCTTTTTCTTCACATGACAAGCAGATATTGCAAACAGCTCAGTCCTCACAGTTTTCTTTAATTAGAATTCAAACAAACAAATCAAATGCGAGAGGGGGGAGGAAGTGAAGGCATTGTTTCTGGTGCTGAGACAGATTTTTATGCTTTTAGATTTGTGGGTACAATAGCAGCAATGACTGAGGACGGGTTTTGTTCCTTTCTGAGTTTCCTTGCGTTTTGTGTTGTGTGGTTTCATGTGAGAACATCTGAACTTTGTGAGAACGGCTGAACCAAAACTCAACTGTTGTTTGGGTGACAGGTTACAAGACAGCGTAGGAGGGTGTGTGGGGGGAGGCTCTAGAAAGCAAAGCTTACAGCCATGAACATAAAGATAAATAAATGCTTTTTCATGAGGTCAGTGTCACACGGTGGGCAAACTATCAGTGTCTATACACTCCATCCAACACGGTGTCAGAGAAGCTACACTAATTCAACCGATTGGGAAAAAATAAAAACACCACAAAGGCTCATATTGTCCTTCTTTATCTTCTCCCTCGTCAGATGAAATCCCATTGGAAAGGCCTGAGTTTAACAGTGTCCTGCGTCTTATCTTGACTTCCTTCAGTTAAGCTCCGGAGCATAACAGAGACTCGCCAGACTCCGCTACTGTGATTTTTCCTCTCAACATTCCCCAAAAACTTCCAGCTTCCCACATCCTCTACATGGGTGGAACAATCATCCCAGGGATCGCTGCTTTGTGGGAAAGAAAAGAGGGGTGGTGGAGGGGGTGGGTGAATAGGATTTTGAGGAATAAGGAAAGAAAGAAAAAAGCACAAAGGTCAGTCATGTGATTGCTGGGTTTCATCTGTCATCAAAACAGTCACACGAGGAAAAAAAAAATGCACTCTAGCATCTGGTGAACCACTTTCCCTCATTATATCTTCATTCCAAGGCCCCCGGAATAATGAAAACATTTTTTTTTCTCGGCTGCGCCGCTAACTTGGCGTACATCGACAACATTGTTCAACTATTCACAGGCCTTCTGAACAGCTTCATGCAAGAGCTGCCAGTGTTAATTGTTAGCAGCTCCAGCTCGTAAGGCCGTCCTGCATTACTGACAGTAATTTGAACGTGGAAGTGGCGTGTGATGACAGAGGCGATGAAATTAGACTCAATGCTCGAACAATGGAAATGGAAACCTTGGGTCCGTCAGCTTTATTCACATTTTTATGCTCTTATATCGTGCTCTGCCTTCCAACTCCTGCATGTTAACCTCCTGACACTCCTCCCCCATCACCCGTATCCCCCTCCCAGTTTCTACACTGAAGCCATCATTGGAAGAAATTTTCCATATAACATATTGGCTTCCTATTGATTTCTCTCTTCAATCCACTAATTCCCTGGTTATTCCCTAAGAGTCTCTGGCTTGTTGGGATTAACAGAGTGAGGTGTGTGTGTTAGCAGCACACAGTGGCCAATGGCCTCTGGGTCACTGTGGTCAGCGCTCATCAACACTGCCAGGGGGAAGGGAGGAAGTGCTTAGCTCGGGGCTCTGCTAAAGATTCGCATCCATCATCTTGCTCTCGTTTTTATCGTCTGAACACTATTCAACATCCTGCCTCGACGAGCAGACCTAGCGCTGCATTCGATGGAAATGGGAAAGCAGAATGACTCGTGGCGGCATAACAACCTTCCCCTCCTCCCTCCCTTCTTACAGAGACACCCCGCTTGGGCACGGGCAGGAAGCAGGAAGTGAAAACAGGAAATAGAACACATATGGTGTGGCATGCGGTCTCCATGACAAGTCAAGAGTGACTAAAAAAAATCCAGGTGGTCAAACTGAGCATTCTTTGATAATGAGATGTGCAAACAGCCAAGAAAAACAAAATAAATTGAAGGATAACGTACTTCAGGAGAAGGCCAGGCCCTGCAGAGAGCTGGCTGATGAGTACTTGCTAGAGTCCACAAAAGACTGATCTATGGTGGGGAGGGAAGGGTTTTAAGAAAGGCAAAGAAAGGAAGAAAAAGGGGTAAAAAAGTAGAAAGAAAAGCAAGGAATAGAGTAAACTGTGAGTAAAAGTTAGAAATATATATTAGGGATGCAAAATCAAAGCTTAAAAAGAATAATTTAGGAAAAATGCACTTCATAGTAACAAAACTTTCAATTTGAACCTAAAGGTCAACTCTGCTCTCATTAAATAGTAGCAGCTAAACTGCACGTTCATCAGTTTACCTTGCAGGCTGTTTCCATTAGTGCCAGTGCACGTGGGAGGAGGGGAGTTCTGGGGTCGAACGACGGGGGCAAAGGCGCTCTTCTGTTTGACGGCGGCAGAGACCATGTTGGCTGGAGAAAAAGAGAAGATGCCAGAGGAGCTGCTGCAGTTGGAGGGCAGGCTTGTTGATGACGCCATTGTCGGACTGGACGGAACGACTGGGAGAAGGGAAATGGGCAGGAAAGTTAGGGGGAAATGTTAGGGGAGAGAGGACAGGGAGGAGCGATGAAGACAGGAAAGGGGTTAGAGAGAAGGCCGAGGGCAGAGGACAGGTAAACGGGATGAACAGAAAGGGACTGGTCAATGGATGATGGCAGGAGGGATAATATTTGGGACTTAGATAAACTGGCTTAGACTAGCTTTGTAGCATTTTGTGTTATACAAAAGATATCTGCAAAATTATATTGCATAAGATTATGGTAACACTTTACAATAAGGTACACAAAATTTGATTAACTACTAGGGAACGCCTCAGGAACGAATCAGGAACAAATCAGGAGCTAATGGGTAGTTAATCAGTACTTACTATCGGTACTTAGCCTTATTAGAGGACTACTGGTTAGTTACCTGGGAAATGAAGAGGAACTAAACAGGAACTAATGGGTAGTTGCCATGGAAACCAAAGAGAAACAAATCAGGAGCTAATGGGTAGTTAACCAGTACTTACTGGGGAACACAGCCACTTTTCACTTTACTTTAGTGTACACAGAAACAGTAGTTAATGGTCAGGTAGTGATTAAGTAATGACTGGTTCCTCAGTAAGTGCTTGGTATGATGCTTCACTACATCAGTGAACAAAATAATAGCCAGGCAATGATTTGGTATCAGTAAGTGATAGTCAGACATAGTTAAGATGACACCAGTACAAGTACACTTCTTCTTTTTCTTCCTGAAATTGATAATGTCTTTCATCAATAGTTTTACAAAAGTGAAAATCCAATAAAATCAGTAATCACTAGGAAACAGGTTTTTGACAATTACGAGCTGTGACCTCACTGGTGCAGGACTTATTCAGAACCCACATGGAGAATTTCTCCTCTGTTTCTGTGGTAACAAACCAGTAGTCCCCTAATAAGGCTTGGCCGTGTGTTCCCCAGTAAGTACTGGTTAACTTCCCATTAGCTCCTGATTCATTCCATGAGGCGTTCCCTAGTTGTTAATCAAATTTTGTGTATCTTATTGTAAAGTATCTGCCTCGACGAGCAGACCTAGCATGCTCAATAATCCAGGTAGAAAAATCTAAAAAAGTTCAATCTGGTCCTCTGGTTTATTGTAAAGTGTTACGTAAACTGAGTTTGTCCTGAACTTGTAACAATCTTTATAACTTTTTCAAAGTCTAATTAAACTGTTTTCATCCTCTGCTCTAAGGGCAGTCAGAAGATACACATCTACCAAACTTCTCCATATGCTGGACTCACTTTTATTTGCATTGTTGTGCGAAATGTCAATCATTAATAAGAGTTAATGGTTTTAGCATTCAAAACCAAAAAGACTGACAGAAATATATCCAGCTACGAGATCTTGGTATTTGTTAAAGCCCATCCACAATAATCTGGATATTTTTGAAAACGATATTTTCTGCTGCTTTTACACTTCACATCAACAAAGTTTTGGTAAGAAAATTATCCTTTCTAAAATGGATAAATTTAAACCTTGTTTCCGATGTCTCTCGGTTGAGAGGAAAAATAGAGCTTTTCCGAAACAACGATGCAGAAAATGAAAACAAATGTTACTTTTTACCCTGCACATCCAACCCGTTTGATCCGTGTTAGTATTTCCTAAACGTGCCTCTGCACCTGTATAACTATCAGCAGCAACGCATGAAATTTGACTAACATCCACATAGAGTATTAGCTTGTTAGCTACATTTTTTTAACTTCCTGCCCTAATGTGCTTCTCAAACTCACTGTAAATTATCATGTTTTAGTAACTAAGTACCATATTTAACACAGAAATAATCATACAAGATTTTTTTTACACTAAAACTGGAAAACATAATTGTAGTTAATTTGTTAGCTAAAAACTGTTGATATTAGCAACTTATCATAAAGATGCAGGTGCATGACACATCTGTGATTTCTGGCAGGAGTCTATGTAGTTGTAAAAAGCTTGGTATCTGTTTTAGTCTTCTCAGAACTGTCAATGGTCCAAGCTAAATTGTTTCATTTTGAGAGAAACGTCAAAGGCTTGCTCGCTTGTTGCTAGCTGTAAGTAAAGATGCAAAGGCTGGTCCATGTTTTGTTGGGTTTAAGGCAATACTTAACCAAATTTGAACACATATCATATTTAGGCTACACCTCTATTGTTAGACCTGGTCTTAATTTATCATTATAATAATTGTTAACCTTTACCTAAACAGGTGGATCTCACAAAGATCAAAAATCAATTTTCCAAGAGAGACCTGGACAAGAATGGCAGCAGCACACAAATATATCTTATCTGTAAATTTGTCAACATGAGATGTACGTCGCCTATAGATTTCTAGATTTAATCCTGTTCAGAATTTCAAATGGTAGATAGCAGCACAACAGTTTGAAACAAAGCTCCAAAAACTTCAGTGAAATGTTTCTGAGAAAACGTTGAAGGCTAGGCAGGGGTGTCCAACTCACTTACAAAAGGGGGCTAAAATTAAAAACTTGGTTCAAGCTAAGGGCCAATTTCAGGAACTACCGTAATTTCCAGACTACAAGCCGCTACTTTTTCTGCAAGCTTTTAACTCTGCGGTTTATACAATGCTGCGGCTAATTTATGGATGTTTGGGTTTTGACAGGCTAACGAGCTTCCTGCTGCCAAAAGAGTTAGCCTCGTCACACCCCGGCGCTTACATAGCTGCCCAATACACATCTCTCCTGGGGGGTGGGTCCTCATGACTCAGTGAGACTACCTGTAACTGTAACCATTAAGTCAGATACCCACCATCTTGTCTTGGTCTCATGTTCCTCAACAAGAGTTTGATTGGTCTCATTTGACGTTCTCTGTTGCGCTTTCCACATCGTAATCAAAGATTGCTAAAATAATTCAAGCGATACAAGTATTTTACGTTTAACATAGCATCTTGGGGGGCAGAGAAAATGTCAATGAGGGCCACATTTGGCGGGCCTTGAGTTTGACACGTGCTTTAGACACAGCAGCCGCTAGCTGGATTTACTTTGGCAACAGAAATCATGTACTTTAAACTGACACAATAACATCCACACAGCCTAAACCCTGTCTTCCACTGACGCCCTCCCATCCATCCATCTCTTTCAGGTTGGTCTTTTGTCTGCTATTACACTAAGAGCATTTTCCCCCTCAGTGATTTTACAATCAGCTGAGTCGTATTTCACCTGCCCTCTGATATCTGCGGCTGCTTTTATTGTTGTTATTATCCAACACTTAGCTTTTATGGCTCTTCCTGACAAATCCCTGCAATAAAGTCATAATCCATTTATGAAGGGGCCTAACTAATCAATTAATGAAAATTGGACCTACAAAGGCAGGCCGAGGGGCCATTGATTGAAAGTGTCTGTGTGGGGCCGATGAGCCTGTTAAAATACTTGTTAACACTCAGGAATCAAAGAGCTGAAATGGAATTGCTTCTCTAGCAATTAGTTTATTGATTTAATCAAGGGTCTTTAATGTAGAGGGTGAATGTGTGTGATTGTGTGTGTGTGTGCGTTGTAAAGGGGGTGCAAGGTGATCTGCTCCCTCGGCCAATAAAGTGAGGATTTGCGTTTGATTCTGCTCTTACAGAAACAGATGAGCCAGCTAAACTGCACAACATGCGAGACAGTTCTTGATCACACTTCCCCATCTCCGTCCCGCTACATATCTTACTCTTTGTTTCAAATGAACCAGTTCAAACATTTTTGCACCAAGTGGCTTGATTTTATCGCTCATTATGTGGTTTATTTACTCACTAGCATAAGGAGAGTTGCCTGCAGATCCATTGAGGAAGTTGGGTGAGGTGCCCAGGGTTGCCATGCCAGAGTTAGCGTAGCCATTCATGCTAGTGGAGACAGAGCTGTAGCTGCTCTGCTGGGGAGTGGAGCTGGGGACATAGCCGTGAGGAGACACACTGCTTGTACTCCTACTGAAACCTACCGATGAGGAGGAAAAATGGAGAAGAAAAACTTGTGTTAAGAGGTCAAAGCAGGCGGAGGAAAAAAAAACAATGAAAGATTTCATCCGGAGCTGCCAAGTTCTCCGTTTTCTAAAAGACTGGTGAATGCCGCATCAAGAGCCAAAATACAAATAAAAAATTCTTACACAACACATGGCAAGGTGAGAAAGCAATGAACAGAGAAGTGGAAGAATGAATTAAGAGATCCAACAACTGAAACATGGAGCCTTTGACCCCGCTGGCTCCTCTCCAAACTCAGATACGTTGACAAGGCAATTAATGCTAAACTGCCTCTGCCGTTCGACTGAACAGTTTAGAAGACAAAGCCAGTATTTCTGACAAGAATGATCTCCCGCTTAAGAAGAAATGAAATCTAGGTATGGTGAAAATGACGATAAAAACACATCTCAGGCTCAACGTGCTGACGCTGGTGGAAAAACAGCAGGAACTGAACATCATGATTTGTGCTGTACAGCACAACAGTCTTTTATTTCTGGTGTCTTTTTTTTTTTTTTTGCTACACCGCTCATCTATAATTAGCATCCATTCTCATTTTTCTCTAACTGAGCTAAAGCTTATGAGATAAGCAGCTGACCTCTCTTGTTTTCTTCATATTTGCAGATGTTTCCAGATGAAGATGAAGGGCAGAGGAAGCTCGTTGGAATTATTGAGACACATTCAGAAGCTGGTCCATCCACTCTGCTCTTGTTCCCCTGATACATGTGATGAATCACCACTGACTGCACCCACATCTCTCTCTGTCAGACAGGGGCCGACCCCAGTCTGATATACACACCCTGAGGACCCACTCATTTTTCTCCATCGTACTCCATCCATGATTCTCTTTTTCTCCATTCTTCACTCTTTCACAGCCACTCTTTCTTCCTTTCAAGTATTCCCCAATTCTCACTGCCACCATCTTCCCCTCTCCTCCTCCTCCTCCTCCTCCTCCTCCAGTCTTGCCTTTTTATTTTTTTAGACTTTCCTATTTGCTCCCTGCTTCTAAATCACCGTCTCTGGATTTCCCAAATGAAAAATAAAGTATCCACTCATTTTTACCACCCACCCCAAAGAGACAATTAAATCACTGTCACTTTTCCTGTGATTGTAAACTTTAACAGTTTTGTGTTGCTCTTGCTCACCCTGATTGGCTGTTTGCGCCACCTCCGACCCGGTGAAAGAGTTTACGGCCATCATGCCAGCATGGACAGAGCTGCTGCCCAGACTGGCTAGCTGGTTGTGCCCTCGTGGCACTGTGGTGTAGAGGGCCTCGGCGATATCTGCTGCTCGTTTCAGGATCATCTCCTGGCAAACAGTAAGAACAAACTATGGTTATCAACAGAACTGAGCTGGATTGCAGGTTTTATAGCTTTAAAAGAATGCCAGAGATCCACTCAGGTTACTGTGAATGTAAATCTCAGACGAGTGGGTTTTTTTTGGATGAAGTGGGATTGGTTCTTGTAAACTGTAAAATAGTTGTACCACAAGATGTTATTTTCTGAACTTATTTGCCTGTACATTAATGAATGACCTAAAAGCTGTAAAAATGTTCAGTTGTATTATATGCAAATGATTCTATTTATTTATGGAGCTGCTAAGAACAACACAAGGTAGAGCAACAGAACAAGCCAAAAGTTGGGGTTTCACAAAGCTTAAAGTAGATTTTTAGGTCTCTGAATTGCACCAAATTTGTTGAACTGTGCTTTAGACTCATATTCAAAGTTAGTTATATATGCCTGTAAAGATTCAGTTGCATATTTCCTATTGCGTAACTGTTTGTGATACATTTATGAAAACAAACTTTGAATATTTTCTATAAGCATCAATACATGGCACCATTTCTCTTCTTCTTTCGGCTGCTCCCTTCTTCAGGGGTCACCACAGTCAACTCGCACGAAGACTTGGCAATTGTTTTTACACCGGATGTTCTTACTGATGTAACCACAGACCACCGAGCTACCACAGCCCTCTGTGTGGAGCAGAGAGCTGCCATCCAGGGCGTTCGGTGGAGATGGTGGGGCTTAAGGGCCTTGCTCAAGGGCCCATAGTGAGGAAAATGAGAGTGGAGACATGTGTGGGTGTTTCACCTTTACATTTTGATGCTGTCGCCGAGTTGAATTGGCGACCTTCCAATCACAGACCCACCTTATTTAACCTTTGTGCCACCACTCCCCTTACATGGCACCATTGCAAACCAAAAAAATCTAAGCTTTGATAGTTATCACCTGCTACTATGGAAGATGTTCAATCATGTAGTTGCATGTATGTGTGTGTGTTACTTTGTCTGACTGTTGTTAACAAAATATTTTGTGAACCACTGGAAGGATGGGAATGAAACCCTCAGAAAGAAATCATTAACCTCTGGATTAAACTCCATTTGAGACGACTGCCACAATTAAACAAAAAAAAAAGGTGCTCTGGTCCATCTCAGCCCCTTTTAAGCTCACGGCACCTGCTATTCCCAGACGGTCTCCCATTCAAGTACTAACCAGGCCTGACCCTGCTTAGCTTCCGAGATCAGATGAGATCGGGTGAGTTCTGTAGTGACCGTAAATAGCCTTAGTAAACATAAAAAATGGTTATTACTCAGCTATTTTTAGGTTCTGAGCTAAAATTTGTTGTGGTAGTAGTTGAGAGTCATCCAGAACACACTTAAGCACTAACAGACCATTGAGATCTTTAAAAAATATATCTTTGAGTGCTGAACTATATGCTTCATTTATGGGATATAAGTAGTTTCTATATGTCTTTTATTTCAAAAGTTAACAAAATTACTTTTAAAGCCAATAGCACAAATCTACAAGAGGAGCAGCTACTGGGACTATTTATTTAGACTATCTTCCTTTATTTATTATTATTTTTAGAAGGGTATGGAATATTTTCCATCAACATTTAAAAAAGTAGAATTATTTTAAAGTGTTATTTCTAAGAATGCTTCGAAGACAAATTTGTCAACACTAACATTTTTTTCTCGTTTGTCTCCTTGTCTTATTTCTGTTTTGTTTCTATACGCTTGTTTGAATATTTGCTGTATCCAGTTGTTGGTTTTCATTTGTTTTAAAACGCAGCCTTTTGGTACTAGTCAGAAATGTTAGGTTTCCTTGTCCCAAATTAGGGATAAGACCAGCAAAATGATTTATTGTTAGACGTCTTGCATATACGGCATGTCACAAAATTGTATCATTTGATAAGTAACATTGTTTATTGTATTAGTATTTTTTTTTCTGTAAAAACTAAGTATAAGAACAGAAAAAAACGAGGGGTGGCTTTATATATAAAATTTATTGTGCACAACGGTCTCCTCCACTCAACCTTCCCTACTTGTCTGCATCTGCCTCTCCACTCCTAATACTCACTCCTATAGCTAGTTTTCATTGTACTTCTCCCTTTTCTCCCATGAGCTGATGACAGCTCTGCCATATTCCCATGTTGTGAGTTCCAGATCTTGGGTGAGCGCAGCAGGGTCAGTGTAGACACCTTTGATGCTTCCAGTGGCCTGAGCCACAATATCATTTTATCTAAGGGGAGATAGGGATGTAAATTGTTTATTATCTGGGTGTTCCAAAACTTCTTTAATAGGGCGTCAGTTAATCCAAAATACTGCTGCCAGAGTTTTAATGAGAGTTAGTGGGAGAGATCATATCTCTCCAGTTTTAGCTTCTCTCTATTGGCTCCATCAAACCCAGAATTTAATTCAAAATCTTACTTCTGACCTAAAAAAGCTCTCAACAACCTAGCTCCATCTTATATTAGAGATCTTATTATTCAATATTTTCCTAACAGAGCACTTTGCTCTCAGACTGCAGGCTTACTTGCGGTTCCTAGAGTTTCCAAAAGCAGAATGGGAGGCAGAGCTTTCAGTTATCAGGCTCCTCTCTTGTGGAACCAACTTCCAGCTTCTGTCCGTGAGGCTGACACATTGTCCTATAGTTTGGGTTGGTTTGTGTTTCCTGAGCTATCCCTTAGTTATGCTGTTATAGGCTTAGAATGCTGGAGGACAAACTGACCACATTTCTTAACTTTACTTCTGTCTTTACTTATTCTACTCTAACTGTTTTGTATTTGTAGTTATTTCGATCCTTAACATGTTTTTTGTCTTTCCTCCTATAGACAGTACACTTGCACCTACATCTAGACCTGCCATTCTGTGTTTTTTGTTTCTCCTTCTCAAACCCAGCTGGTCGAAGCAGATGGTCCTGAGCCTGGTTCTTCTGGAAGTTTCTTCCTGTTAAAAGGGAGTTTTTCCTTCCCACTGTTGCCTTTGAGCTTGCTCAGAAAGGGAGACTGTGACGAAGTGAAGATTCAGCCCAATCTGCTTCCTTCCTTAGATAGAGAACTTTTACTACTGGTAATTGGCTTTTATATGTAATAATTTTGTACAGTGCCCTGAGACAACTTCTGTTGTGATTTGATGCTATATAAATAAACTGTATTGAATTGAACATGTTCGTGTTGATGTATGTGTGCATTTGTGCACGTGAGTGCGTGTTCACCTGATTATTGTGAGGCATCCCGTACAGGGCCTCCACCAAGTCCGCTGCTCTCTTTAATATCACCTCCTACAGCCAAGCACAGAGAGAGAGGAAGGGGATTGATCACGAGCAGAACGGCTCAAAGAGTTCAGTCACTTTTATTACATTTCACTTCTTACATTATGCTGTGAATGCAGAACAGAGGGAGCAAGGGAGGAAAGAGGCCAACAGAGGGAGGGAGAAGAAGAGAAATGGGCCTATCCCAGCACTTTGTTACCAGCTGGGCAGTTTCGGAGAGCAGGGGGAAGAAACTGTTGTCTGTGAATAAAACATGAGCCTATATCTCTCTATCAGTCAACTATCTTTTGCATCTTTACCCTCCCTTTTGTCACTGATGGATCATGACTCCGTCGCACATGATCACGCATCACTTTCATTTAACACAACATATCATCAGGGTGACGGCTCTACAACTCGGCTCGTTGTGGGGAACACACCCATCTCCTGGCCTGTATTAACCCCCGGTAATGATCTGAGCGAATGGCCCCCACATCCACTTTGTGTGATAAATGTAGAACATCATTGCTCAGGTGAAAACCGCCGAGCCAAATTTCCCACATCAAACATTTATCCTAACGCAGTGTTACCGCTTCTCCGCGCTCATTCTCTCCCCATCTCTATTCTTTCTCCTCACTGAGTGAATGAGCGTGTGACTCCAGGCAGTCGTTATAGATGTGTGCGCATGTGATGTAGACACCTACAGCCCTACAAAACCCTTTTTAAAAGTTAATGTGCCGGGGCCAGGATATATGCTGGAGGTGCGACAACCAGAAAATTGCAGCCCCCCCCCCACCCCCTCCTTTCCTCCTTCCTTCCAACCTTCTTTCTTTCACTCCTTTCTCTTGCACACACACATACATGCTGAGCGTTATACTCTCCTGAGTGTATCCCTCGCTGCGAACAAGCCCCGGAGCATGTGTGCTCTCTGTTCCGTGACACACTGCCTTTCAATCAGACCTCATATCAAATGCACACACGCACACACACACAACCACACACGCTGCCACGCACACGTGGAAGCTGTCGAGCACAGCCGAGACATGACGAGAGGGTCAGCAAAGCAATAAAGATTGTAGAGCGCTGTCCGAGGTGCTAAATTCACTCAATAATGGGAGCGCTGCCTCTGTGTTAACCTCACATTACTAGCACTATCTTGGGGGAGGCAGAGAGGGAGACAGTGGGAGGGGGAGGGGGGAGACCAGAGAGGAGGCCTGCTTGAGGTGATTGAGAGATGTAGAGGCCCTAGGAAGGTAAGTGGTTCTTTAGTATGTATGCGCCACTCCTCGCTTCCTTGTCTCTGCTTTTCCTCGACACCACATGCCTCCCAGGGATTGCTAGATGGGTAGAAGGACGGACAGATGAAGGGATGGGGAGATGAAGAGGAGGAGGAGGAAGAGAGGGGGAAATGAGGAAGAGTGTGAGACATTAGGACACAAACAGATCAGCAGCTGGAGTGTGACGATGTTCCAGAAGCTCAGCCACTTAATGTTTACCTCTCTTCAGTTCTCTCTCTCCCTCCACCTGTGTCTACTTCCTTTTGTCTCCCTCTTCTTCGTCTCTTTCTATTAATCACTCCTTCATGGCCCTGCGCCCTGTCTGTACCCATCAGCCTCTTGTTAGAAAAGGGATCTGTCCAGTGGCTAAACGTGATTAGGCTGAGCTCCAGAGTCATTCTGATAAACAGATAAATGTGGTTAGCGCCACGCTGCCTCCCCCAGCTCTGCTGCTGTAAGGGGAGATCATTTCCTGGGCGCAAGGTCTCTTCCCGTAAAAGTCAGTTCCGCAGAGACATCAACAGGAAGGGGAACCTGATCCAGAGCAGAGCCTAACTTTGTCTGGATGGCTGCTTGCTCATTAGGAGCACCCAGACCCCCCCCCCCCCCCCACCCCCCCACCCTCCATCCTCAAGACACAGCATTCTCTAAACACCTTGCAGTCCACCGAGTCACTCTTACTGCCTGTCTGTCAGCTACAACACTGCGTGGGCTGCTGTTTTCAGCTTGACACTAGATTGTTACCTAACTGGGCCAAGATGGTGTAGGGGCAGGGCAGCCGACTTGGGACTCGAAGGTCCTGGGTTCGATCCCCGGTCATTACACATCTCGTGGTGTCTCTGAGTAGGACACCACATCCCCAGTTGCTCCCCGGGCAACTCCAAAGGCTGCCCTCGGCCTGGCGGTGGATGGGTTAAATGCAGAGAGCCAATTTCACCATTGTATGGGAATATACAATAATGATAACACATACACATTATTTATTGGCAGATTTTCTGACTATGCCATCTGAAGTGTGGGTGTATAGGTTTGTTAAGGATCCCCTCTGCAAATGGTGCCAAACTAGCAAAAAACAACCACACCATGGTTTTGCCAAAGCGGCTGTGGACATTTGCAGTTCCAGAAGTTGCCAGTGCGTGCACCCCCTTTTCCAAATGATTGAGGCCAAGAGTTGGACGAAGTGTGGTCAACAAAGTGTTATTGCTTCAATAAAGGCACAAATCAATAGAGCCGAAATGAACAACCAGGCCTGCCAGCTACCGCTGTTCATTTAGAGGAGAAAGAGACACCACCAAGCCAGAGAGGAGAGGAATGAGATGGATGGATACAAAGACATTAAGAGATATACAGGAGGGGGTTGATAGGCTAAAGACCAGAGCTCACCGGGACAAGTCTCACATCCACCGGACACTCATGGAGGACAAGTGATCTTTCTATCTTTTCTCTACAACTGCCTCTTCATCTCTACCTCATGGTGACTTCTCTCCACTGAGTGTGCACCCGCAGGCATGGAGAAGTGTGTCTGTGTGTGTGTTTGCATGTGCTTCTCTGAATGTGTGTTGCTTGGTGGATGTGTGCTGAAAGTAATAAAGTCCACCCGGGGTTGACTTCGATCCACTGACCCAGCAGGAGGTAAGACCGGACAGCTATGATGGATCACCTAACCTGCTTCTGCCGCTCTCTTCCTCTCTCTCCTCAACCTCCTTTCCTCCCTCTTTTCCTCTTTCCTCTCCCACTTTGCCAGTTAAAATGACCTTATGCTCGTTGGAAGAAGGATTGGGGTTTGCATTTGTTGTTCAGGTAAGCTGTTTACTGTAACGGAAAATGAGCGCTGACATGGGTCCAAATGTTTTTGGTCCACTGTCTCCACAATTCACTCATTCCTCTGTGCACGAGGTCACATCGCCCTTTGTCTTTCACATCGCCCTTTGTCTTTTACATGCATGCATGAAACTCAAGAATTTTTTCAATATTATTGTATTTTCCAGTTCTATTGTAAAAAAAATATCACTAAGTAATAACTTTTTGGCAACTCACAAAAGCAAAGCTACTGTACATGAGAGGAGAGGTATGTACCTTTGGTAATCTTTCTTGGTCTCCCGGGTGTCTGGGGATGACTTTTTGTAATCTCTGGAAACCGTAGTCTATTGTTGGCTCATTCAGTGCTAAAGAGAACACAGACAGAAAAAAAAAACAGCATTAGTATCTTTAATAATTGTCAAAAACAACTGTTCAATTATAAAAATGCAGCAAGAAATATACAGGAAACTTGACGGAATCACAAACGCGCCTGAGAATGTGGGTGTGCTCTGTTAAGACAGTTGTGTTGCCTTTGTTTTCCTGTGATGTAATGAATCTCGTTCTGGCTCCTTCTGTTAATAAAAAGACTGTCAGGAATCAGGCGGAGTGAACACATTTGTGTGTGTGAATGTGTGTGTGTGTCCTGTGGTCTTGCGTTGATCAGCGACTAATATAAACAATTACAGAGCTTGGTTCCACCATAACAAAAGCTTGATCGCTCTAGGGGACGAGCTGAACACACACAAACTCACTCACACGCGTGTGTGGACCCACATGCAAACACAGACATGCATAGAAACACACAAAGAGTCAGATTATCCAGGCAGCAGGGAGAAAGCACTCTCTCTGCATGCTGTGGTTGTTCTTCAGTAATTGAATATGAGAAGATTTACCATGAATATTTAAACATTCGAATAAATACAGTGAAGATCTGAGGCTTACAGTACAAACACTTCAGAGGAGGATTGTTGGATAAGTGCTCTACTCATAATTCATTCCTAATGTACTGTCGTGCTTTTTACTCTCTCTGTCTGCTCCAGGTTTTACCCCCCTCCTTCATCCATTGGCCGCCTGGGAAGCCAAACCCTGACTTCTGTTCAGGACTACAGCTTTAAGGGTCCCGCTGCTGCAGGATGTGCCTGTATGTGGCTTTAAAGCAATACTTCAGATCTTTTGAAATGGACTTCTGTGGAAAGGTCTATGAACAATTAGCAGAGGTCTGCAACTTTTTTGATCAAAAGAGTCATTTCTGACTCCACTCACTAAATAAAAGGTGTCTGGAGCCACAAAACCTGCAACTGTGATTATCAACTGATGGCCCATGGGCCACTGAGTTTGGTGGACGGGGTGTTTTCAGGCCAGTTGGGGTGACACTATAAAATTTAAATTTTATAATGAATTTTAACATTTATTGATATTTTTACATTTTAAGACAAAAAGACCATATCATGTAAATAATGAAAATAATTATTGTTTATATCCAATTTGATAAAAATTATAACTCTACCGGCCTTTGTGAGAATAATAAAAAAGTACTGGGTGGGGCTGCAGTAGCTCGGTGGCCAGTGCCGCAGTCTTTCAATCCTAAGGTTGTGGGTTCAAACCCAGGTTGTGTCAGGAAGGACATCCAGTGTAAAACAAATTGCCAAAACTTTCATGCGAGTGGTGACCCCTGAAGAAGGGAGCAGCTGAAAGAAACTTACTCCTTCAACAATTTCCTGCGGGATCAATAAAATTCTTATCTTACTACAATAGATATTGTGCAAAAATGTACAAAAAATTACAATAAAACTGTCAAAACTAGCCTTTTCTGTTGTGGGTAAAAATCAATAATTAAATGTCATTAAGTTTAGGTACAATATTATCGGCATGGTATCAGTATCGGCCGATATTAGCGAAAGTTAAATATCAACCATCGGCCATTCCATCAAAATAACTCACCGATATAAAAGGCGCTGTTTTATATATATATATATATATATATATATGGTGCTGTTTTTGTATGACAACCCAGTGACAAGGATGCCTGCAGCGCCAGCACAACATTATGACATCACGTGTGCTGTTGAGTTTAGATTTGTGAAAATTTACAAATTTTCACTGTTCAAGTGTTGTCATTGTGTTAGAGAGAGTAAATGTCATGAATAAATTTGACATTAAACATAATCCAAGTTGAAGTGTTACATCATTTTCAGCCCCGTTTTGCCATTTGCATTTGGTAGCAGGCCAAATTGACAAAGACCATGCAGAATAATGTAGTACTTTAATTCCACAGAAGAGAAAGCTATGCAGTGTCTTTAAGTAGGTCTAGGAAAAAAATTTATTGGTATCGGTATCGGTTATCAGACAAATAAATTTTAACATATCGGTTATCGGCCAAAAATCCAATATTGTGCATCCCTAGTTTTGGTCAAAGCTTCAAAGAGCTGCTGATGAGGGACTAAAGAGCCACATGTGGCCCCAGAGCCGCAGGTTGCAGACCCCTGACAACCACTATATTACCTGCTGTAGATAGATTTATGAACAAACTCAGTTTGGTTCATTTCTGACTGGATTCATGAGCTAACTGATAATCTTACTCAGGACATCTTGGAACAACTTTAATCTTGTAAATGTCATGATGATTTTTGCAAACAATGTTTATTCTAGCAGAAATATTATGACATTCCTACTAAAGTGCTGCCCTGTATGTGCTGCTAATACTGCTATCGGACCATAAAATAATCCTACAATTCTATAGCAATAAAAACTGATGGTGATGTAAAGGTTTTCTTAAGTGCGTTTTCAAAAAACTGCTTTGAAACTTGGAAAAAAATGGTTGTTTGGGGATGTTTTAAAATGACATCCATTTACTTGGGTCTTGGCTGCGCTCTTATTAGCCATTAAAGGAAGAAATGACCTTTGCCAATAAATAAATAAATAAAAATCAGGACTTTCTTGTAAATGAGTCCCGGAGGCTCAATGGGATTAACCTGTATAAATAAAGCTTGAATGAAATAGCTCATCAATCCAATCCCAGTGAGGCTCTTCAAAGAGCTATTTAGAACAGGTAAAATACTAGCTGTAATAAAAAAAACTTTCAACAGAAACCCACTTTAAAAAGTCCTAACACACTTTAACGTGTTTGTGTTTACATTTCAATGTGTTCAGAGACAAAGAAAATCACTTTTATGTGTGTGTGTTGTCCGTCTGTTTATCCTGCGGGTCGCAGCTTGGATGTTTCCTGAGGGTTGATGCCCTGCTCGACTCACATCTGAGCAGCCAGGCTGACTAGGCGGCCCCCAGAAAAAGGCCCCCAGAGGCTATGAGTACAAGCTGTCCTGCTGGACCTCTAGTGACTTCACCACAACTCCTCTCGGACCAAACCTCACACACACACACACACGCACGAACCAACGAGGACAAGCAGCAAGAATAGGTGATGCTCTGTTTTGGCAACAGGAACGTATTTGGACAGCTCTCCCAGCGGACTGCTCTCTGTATTCCAGAAGAGTGAAGGAGAGGAAAGGTGAAGAGCTGAAAGCAAAGACATCGCAAGCGTAGACGTTCGGGTGCTGAAGGCAGGATCCCAAGACCAATACATATTAGAGAGGTTAGCTGATAAATATGAGAAGAAAACAACAAAACAATGAGATCATCACGAGCAACAAATGCAGCGTGAATTATTGCTGAGGACAAATATTTGACATTACTTCCCCATTGTCTGATCTCTCTAAAGCCTAAAGGAGGATTTGCCCTGGATTAGGGCCCGCAGACTGTGAGGAGGGGATTGTTCCGGCGCACATCCTCTGTTTCGTCTCAAAGGCTTTTGTTTTTATGATGAATTTTTTATCAGCTCTGCTCAATGTGCCAAATGAGCCTCGAGTGAACAATAGCATAAAAAACCCTAGGACGTACAGGATGCCCCTATTACAAATGAAGAGACAATTTTGGTAATTGAGAGAGGAAGTGATATTGTCTCTGCTCGTTTTCAAGGACCATAAACTATAAGAAGTGTGTGTGCTGTGATGGTGGTGGTGGTGGTGGTGGTGGTGGGGGGGGGGGCACTTCACTAACTACTTTACCGTATCTCTTTGGGGATTATCTTTGGTTCTTATGTTCTTATATTCATGCTCAATATCTTCCAGTTCATGCCAGGAATTAGTGCTGAAGCAAAAATAAATAAATAAATAAAAAGAAAAAAAAGAAAAGAAAAGTGGGGCTACAACTTTGCAGGATTCAAAGTGCACCCTCCTATTCAGGTATATTTATAATCTTTAGCTGTCGCTCTCCAGAAGTGCAAATCAAAGCCAGTAAAACATAACTGCCATAAATAAATGAATAGATGAGCAACAGCCCTGGACTGGAGGGATTCACCCAGCAATCACCCACATCAGATCAGATCAATGCTCATGGAAATTTCATGAAGCCCAGAATCCACATCGCTTCATATTTCACTATAATAACCCACAGAGCCGCAGGGAGAGTGCATCTGAAGGGGTGAGGGGAAGGGGATAGCAGAAGGAGGAGAGGAAGTTGGGGTGCTGGTTGGGGGGGGGTGTGAGCTTTTTGTTGTGTTTTTTTTAAAGAAGGGGTTGTGGATGGAGTGCAAAGAGCAGGAGGTTGTTGGGTGGGGACGTAATGGAGAAGTGGTGGAGTTGTCCTGGAAACAGAAAACAGGAGGAGGAGAGGAAACTACAGCAGCGTCCCGTTGTCTCCTTGTGTGTCACGGTGGTGTGTGTGTGTGTGTGTGTGTGTGTGTGTCGGGAGGGAAGTGTGTGTAGTTGCAAGGGTTAGGTAATTGGCTCTGAGGCTTGATGTTAACACCTTAACAGGCCCTCAGACAGCAGGGTAAGGAGCTGATCATATCACAACCTTCACTTTCTGCCTCTTTCTCACTCTACTCACAACATACACCCACCCCCGGCCCCCACCCCCGCCCCCCCGCCCCCCCCCCCCTCCCTCCCTGCGTCTCCCGTGCTCAGGTGTGATCTCATAAGCGCAGCCTGGCGATCGATGCCGCCAGTGGCAGGGGGTTCAATAGCCCTGAATTACGGCTTCATTTCTGCCCCCATCCCCTCCCTCCAACACAGGAGAGAGAGGGCTGCCCCCCCCCCCCCCCCCACACACACACACACACCACCACCACCTCCACTTCTCCCACCAACTACTCACAATCCAGATCAATACCTTACAATCTAATTTTTATCCATTTTTCCATAAACCCTGAGATTGCGTTTATTTGCAGAATCCGACAAGCTAAATAAAGCATCGCTTGAACATGTCAGGGAGACTAATGCATGGCTGGAAATTCATACAGAGAAAACAGATGAGTAGAGCTTTTTTTTTTTGCTCCTCATGGAAGGGAGAGGCTGAGAGAGAGAGA